ATAAAGCCCTGTCTGGATTGAAACAAGCTCCAAGAGCTTGAAATAAGAAAATTGATAGTTTCCTAAGGGAGAAGGAATTTGTGAAATGCAAAACTGAACATGGAGTATATGTAAGAAGAAGCAATAGTAAATTGCTTATACTATGTCTTTATGTCGATGATTAGTTGATAACAGGTAGCTGCAAAAGTGAGATCGAAGACTTCAAAGGTGATCTCAGCAAGGAATTCAAAATGTCTGATAAGGGTGAGATTTCATATTTCCTTGGTATCGAATTCTACAAGATTAGTAGAGGTTTGATGATGCATCAAAAAAGATATACATGAGAAATTCTCAAGAGATTTGAGATGGAAGAATGCAACTAAACTTCGACACCTGCAGAACCAAGACTGCAACTGTCGAAAGATACAAATAAAGATGATGTCGAAGAAACCAAATACAGAAGACTTATTGAGTCATTGAGATACCTTTATCATACAAGGCCTGACTTAGCGTATAGTGTAGGTATGGTAAGTAGATTCATGCAAACGCCAAAGGTATCACATCTAGCCGTGGTGAAGAGGATACTAAGGTATCTCAAAGAAACTATCGACAATGTTATTTTGTTTCTTATAGTTGATAAAGAAAAGGAATTCAAGTTAGTGGGATACACTGATTCGAGTTGGTGTAGTGATGCTGAAGATGGAAAATCAACAGCAGGATATGTGTTTATGTTAGGTGGTGCATCAGTTGCTTGGAGTTCAAGAAAGGGACCAATAGTGGCATTATCATCATGCGAAGCTGAATACATAGTTCATTCTCTTTTTGCATATCAAGCAACTTGGATGGTGAACTTGGTCGAAGAGATAACGGGGAAAGATCATGGAGCAATTACCATGAAAATCGAGAACATGTCAGCTATCAATCCGGCGAAGAACCCGATAGCACATGGTCGAAGCAAGCACATCGAAATGAGGTTCCACTATCTTCGAGAACAGGTAGCAGATTGGAAGATAAATTTGGAACACTGCAGAAATGAGAATCAGATTGCAGACATCATGATGAAGGGTGTATAGGTCGAAGTATTTCGAAGATTATGAGTTATGATGAATGTAGATAGCTTAGACACAATGAATTAGGTAGTATGTTGAAATTAATTCCTTGTGTCGAAGTAGTTTGCTGGACAAAGACAAGGGAGTGCCGAACTAAGTGTGTCAAAAATGCTACACACAAATTTGTTTTATTTTAGATTTAGATAGATTTGATTTAGATCTAAAATAGATAGATTTGATTTAGTACCAAAATATGTATTTTGGGGTTTTATAGTTTTGGGTTTTGGCTTAGGAACAAACTAACCTAAATCTATAAATAGAGGGAGTAACCTCTAATTAAGTTAATTCATTATAATCACAGAATTTGCAGTTGCAAGTGATTAATAAAGTTCTCTATAGTTTGTGGGTAGAGAGAAACTCTAGAAAATAATTGTCTTCTTTCTTTTCTTTTCTTTTCTCATAATTCATTATCATTGTGTGGTAATATCAATGTTGTTCATCCTGATTGGTAGAAATTCATCATAGATATTTGGTTGATTTCCAACAGTCGCAAGCCAATTTATTGGCTCAGGCTATTGTACGTATAATTCCTCAAAAATTTCCACCCACTGTAACTCAATTTGTCACTATTTTGAAAAATCCAATCAATTGCACCAAATGATCCAACTAATAAATGCTCAAAATTATTTTCAATTGTTTAAATCACGCCAAATAGAGCTTAATACTACCCAACAGTGTCAAAAACTTAAAAGAATCAAAAATAACATTTTTATAAACTTAAAACATTTCTACAGAATATTTTCATTAATTTATTCAATACTCTTAACTCGTAAAAAATTATAACAATATATAATTATATCTTGACATAGTTAATGAAATCTAAACAACTCGATTCCTACAACTCTAAAATAACTCTAAAGTGCTCACAATTGTTCTACGGACAACTCTTGCATATAAAAATGACTCTAATGAACTTAATTGGTAGATGGTATAACTCAAGTAATAATAAAACAACTTCAAATGGTCAAATATCTTTAATTTTAATTCTCTTGCTCATCAAATTTAACTCTAAAAAACTCGAAAGCAACTCTGAAAACTCTAAACATGTCAGAATTACTCAAAACTAATAAAAATATGACTCTTAATAACTCAAAACAACTCTGACAGCTCTATTGACAATTCTATTGACAACTCTATTGACAACTCTAACAATTCTATTGACAACTCTAACAAAATTAAAATTAACTTAAGTTAGATAAATAATTCAAATATTATTTTGTAACTCAAAACTCTTAAGAAATTATTATACTAATAATATTAAATTATTATTATTAATTATAGGCAAAATATTTTTTTTTAGTCCGTAAATTAACCTCAAAGTTTATTTTGATTCCTTAACTTAAAAAAGGTTCACATTGGTTCCTTAACTCTTCAAAATGTTTCATTTTAGCCCCCTTTATCTAATTAGCGATAAAAAAAACTCAAAAATTAATCGCTAAATCTGTCGTAAATTAGATTAAAAGAACTAAAGTGAAACATTTTGAAGAATAAAGGGATCAATATAATTGTTTTTAAGATAAGAGACTAAAATAAACCTTGAGAGTAACTTATAAGAACAAAAAAAATATTTTGCCTTAATTATACTAATAACATGTTATATATTATAAACTTGCAGTAGGATTTACAAATGAATGAATATTTGGATTTAGATATTATTAGAATTAAATGTTGCTCACAATCACGTTAATTACTAAGTTAAGGATTATATGGAGACAACAATTTTCTAACTCATCCTCTTAAAAGTATTAATTCTTCTTTTATTTTTGGTAAGACAAATTGTTTTTCTTCCATTTTCCTAACCTATATATATATATATATATATATATATATATATATATATATATATATATATATATATATATATATATATATATATATATATATATATATATATATATATATATATATATATATATATATATATAAGTGTGTATTTTTATTCTATAACCTAATTGTTTATCATAAATATTAATTAATTTTTTTTGAAAGGTTAGCTCTTTTATTAAAAAGGTAATTATTTTTATTTTATGATTTAAGTTTTTTTCCATTATTTCTTACTAAAATAAAATTATATCACTTATATTTCAATTACAAATACGATGTAACATCATTTTTGTAAAATAATTTTTTTCTCTAAATTCACATATATTTCTACAATTTATTTTAATTCAATTCATTTCTCTAATAAGTAAGTCACTACCAACACTCTAAATAATAAAATTTTAGTATTTAATTCTAAAATAAATTACACTTTACTTATATGTCAAATCTACAAATATTTCCTTCTTGCAAACTTTTTCACCCTTTTATTTAAATTCTTATATGTCATATAATACTCTTTTTTATTTTAACTCTCAATAAATCTTAGGATTTTCTATCTCACTAATCACAATTTTTTTAAATCAATTATTACAATTTTTTAACTTGAAACCTAATTTCCATTATATTTAATTGAAATTATTTGTATATATTACAAAAACTATATTATATTAATATACTCACAGTTACATTTAATAGCATATAAATAATAATGTAATGTAATTATATTTCAAATATAATCAAAATTTGTAGTAAACCAATTCATTACATTAGACCAAATTATATACAATTACTTTTTTTAAAATCTTTTCGATTATTACACAGTACCAGAAAAATTATTGTTTGTATCTTTTAATACATATAAAGAATAAAATAATGTAATGACATTGCAAATATATTCAAAATTGAAGATGAAAAATTATAAATTGAATCAAAAGTAAATATTTTATTATTGTTTTTTATTTCTTATTTTTCGGGTATTAAAATCTTTATTGAAAATTCCCTAAGAAAAAAAAATTTCTTAGTTAAATTTCAAATGAATTGATGTTTCACAAAACTCTCCATTTTTTAAATTTTAATTCTTACAATTTTATGATTCTAAGTTTTTTAAAAATTATCATTTTAATGGTAACTAATATTCTAATTAATACATAATATGATGATACAAAAAGAATTAAAAAAAATTAAAAGCCTTAATTGTTAGTACTAAATAAAAATTTAAAACAAAATAAGTAAAGTAAGAATAAAAAGATTTGTTACTTGATATACTTATTTATTTAAAAAAATTGTATTTATAATGAAAAAGTAGTGTGATAACATTGCAAATATAATCAAATTAGTAATAAAAATTCATTAAATTGAATCAAAATCTCCCTCTTTCAAAAAAAATTCTTCTATCTCTGATTTATACTATTATCTTTATGCTCATTTTATATAAAATAGCAATAAATGTATTAGACACCTGTTTATTTCTATATGTATGTGGCTTTTAGTATATCATGACATACTTGATTTTTCTAACAGCATTAAAAAAGTAAAAACGTGCACCACTTGATAAACACTCATCTTTTATCTCTCTTTTGTAAAATTCCTTTTATTATTATTAATTAATCCTTAAGACTATATATTAATAATTTAATAAAAAATTATACATCAATTGATATATTTAATTATATAAATTTTGTTTTTGAATTTATTTATTACTTATATAAGTTAATAATTCTTACAACAATAGTGTATGTTGGAAGAAGTTTTTTTTTTAAAGTTGAACTTAATACAAATATATTTTAGTTGCAACAATATCACAACAAAAACTAAATTAATTGATTTTATTATTGACAAAAATATTAAATTAAATATTTTTTATTGATTAAAAAAAATATATTAAACAGAAATAATTAGATTAATTTAATAAATAAAATATTATTTTAAAATTCTTCCTGGACCTCAACATGTGCAACATAAGTGATAATTTGATCTCATTCCAGCAAAAGAAATTATGAACTTTTTCCTCCTTCTGTGCATGAAAGGAAAAAGTTCTTACAAAATTAAATTTCAAAAGTTTTTGTATACAGAAAAGAAAGATCTAGACTCTCAAAATAAACTCCTTTTTCTAGAACATAATCCTTTTGAAGATTTCTTTGCTATGGTTGCCTTTGAAATGCTCAAACCAAATTTCTTGCATGATTTCACTTTATTTGGTTTCTCTTTCTTAGAAAGATCTTCTATGTTTTTTACCCTTGCTAAAGAACCAAAAGACTTTGCCTTCCCTTGAAAAAACATAGACAATCCACTCCTACAAATCAATAGAAAATTGAATAAAAATAGAAAAAATAAAGTAAAAATAATATTAAAAAAACATACATCATGATTCAAGAATGAGATTGCTTACTTTAAAGGAAGATGATTAGTGAGATCTGAGGATGACTCTTCTTGATCATCATCATTTTTCATTTTTAATGAAGAAAAATCTGAACACAATGATTTTTCTGCAATAAATCCATTAAAAATTGAATTTGTTTCATCATCCTTAACAATCCAGTTGGAATTACTTTTTCCATCCATGATTTTTTTGTAATGTGTAAAGAAGAATATCTCTAATATGTTATCCTAAAATTATGTTTAAGAGATCAAATATATATACAAATGAATGAATGAATAGATTTAAGTATTATCAAAATTAAATAATTGTTACTATATGGTGACGGTTGAGAATCAAGTGTGAGGAAGAAGTCTCACATTGATTATAAAAGGAAAGATTGAGCACTTTATAAGTGGGAGAACCCACTCACCTATCACCTTAAGGTTTTAGATGGACAAGTGGTGTGTCTCTCACAAAGGTGTGTCCCACGTAAAATGCTCTCTCACAAAGGTGTGTCCTGTATTTTAATTCTAAAACCTAATTGTTTATCATAAATTTTAATTATATTTTTTTAAGGGTTAGCTCTTTTATTAAAAAGATAATTGTTTTTATTTTATGATTTAAGTTTTTTTCCATTATTTCATACTAAAATAACATTATATCACTTATATTTCTATTACAAATATGATGTAATGATATTTTTGTAACATGATATTTTTCTTCCTCTAAATTCACATATATTTCTACAATTTATTTTAATTCAATTCATTACTCTGAATGATAAAATTCTAGTATATAACTCTAAAGTAAATTATACTTTACTTATGCGTCAAATCTACAAAAATTTCCTTCTTACATACTTTTTCATCCTTTTACTTAAATTCTTATATGTCATATGATACTCCTTTTTATTTTAACTCTCAATAAATTTTAAGATTTTCTATCTCATTTATCACAATTTTTTAAATCAATTATTACAATTTTTTAACTTGAAATCTAATTTCCATTATATTTAATTGAAATTACTTTCATATATTTAAAAAATTATATTATATTAACATACAAAAAATTACATTTAATAGCATATAAATAATAAAATATTATAATAATATTTCAAATATAATTTAAATTTGTAGTAAAACAATTCATTAAATTAGACTAAATTATATACATTTTTTTAATCTTTTCAGTTATTAAGCAATATCAGAAAAATTATTGTTTGTATCTTTTAACACATATAAATAATAAAATAATATAATAACTTTGCAAATATATTTAAAATTGAAGCTAAAAATTCATTAAATTGGATCAAAAATAAATATATTATTATTATTTCTTATTTCTTATTTTTCGCATGTTAAAATCTTTATTGACAGTTCCCTTAAAAAAATAATTTTCTTAGAAAATAATAAAAGTTATACTCTTTCTCTCTACAATTTTATTTTGATGTGGAGTTTTAGGACAGGAGAAATCATAGGAAATACCATTTTCATAAAAAAAAACTTTTCAAAGTTTTTATTTTTAAACTCTCCACCATGATAACTTCTGACTTTGACAATTTTGAGATTCGTCTCATTTTGTACTTGAGAACAGAAGGTAGTAAACGCAAAGTGCAACTATCCTTATATTTAAGAAATTTAACCCATGTCCAATGACTGTAATCATCAACAATGACTAATACATACTTCTTACCATTGGCAGAAGCAGCTTTCACTAGTCCAACAAGTCAATGTGCAGAAACTCTAATGACCTAGAAGTAGAAACAAGACTCTTTGCTTTAAAAGGAGTTTTTGAAAACTTACCTTCCTGACATGCTTCACAAAGAACTTCTGAAGTGAACTTCCGTTTTGGAAGGCCTCTGACAAAATCAAGCTTATTTAGCTGAGAGATTCTTCATTATCAGACAAAGACATTTTATATTTTGCTCTTTAAGATCAGAAAGTCTAATCTTATATATGTTTTTCTTTCTCTTGCCATTGAAAAGGATTAAGCCATCTTTCTGACTAACAACATCCTTACATAAGTTTTGATTAAATATTATATCATAACCATTGTCACTTAATTGACTTATGAATAATAAATATGCATTAATCCATCAACAAGAAAAAAATTATTAACAGAAGGGAGATAATTGTTACCAATTGTTTCGGAGCCTATGATCTTCCCTTTTTATCACCTCCAAAACCCAAGAAGCCTCTAGGCATAAGTACCAGTCTTTGAAATATATGCCTTCTTCGCATCATGTGTCCCGAGCATCCAGAATCCAGATACCATGATTGGTGTCTTGAATTCACTTCTAAGGATATCTACAACAAATATTATATGCTTCTTTGGTACCCACAAATTCTTGAAATAGGATAAACATATTTAATTGCATTCTTGAAACAAAAATTTTCTTTAGGTTTAGCCTTTGGAGCAGAAATAGTTTTACCTTTTTCTATTACTTTAGGATCAGAACCTACAGAGATAAAATAAGAATGAAGAGTATTTGGTTTAGCTTCTATTTAAGAATAAGATTCTTCATAAGAATCATAACCAATACCTTTTGTATCGTTTCTGCATACGCCATAGATCATTGAAGTCGCGACGCTTCTACCCAAGCTTCTTGCAAGAAATTTCTAAAAAGATTTGTCATATTTCTTTATGCCATCAATAATGCTCACAGAAGCTTCTGAAAAAATTTCCTTCTCAAGACTTGAACTCTTTCTTTTGAGAACAGATTAATAAATCTTAAGAATATAATTTTCTTCTCTTAAAGATGAAAATTCTTCCATAAATTTGTTGTGTTCTTTAGAAACAGATTCATATACCGTTTTAAGTTCCTCGAATTTGTTCTTAAGAAATTTATGCTTTACCAAAATTTCAAGCAAAGAACGAGTTAATTCAGAGTGAGAAAGGTCAGAAAATACCTCTTCTATATCTGAATCAGAGCTTGCAACATCTTCAGGACGGATCATCTCATTAGAAGCTTTAACACTGGGCATAAAAACTGTAACACCCTTCTAAAACCCACGCATATTTTATGAATAAATTATTTTAAACAACAACACAAGGGTGTCACACATCATAAAAACATACATAAATCAATCATGCTCCGTAACACGAGTTTCCATAAAAATTAAGAACATTTTTATTTACCTGGGATGTTACATGACATCCAAAACATATTTTATAACTTACCTGAGATGTTACATGTTATCTAAAATACATCAGGTAATTTACATAGGATGTTCCACAACATCCAAAACACATATGAATAGCAACACAACAAAATACAATTAAAACATATAATCCAGCATATAAGTAAATATGTCATTGGTCTCATAAAAACTCTTTTCAATTTCAATCAACATAAATAAGAGAATTATAAATGTTTTATCTTCAACAATAATAAGCATAAGCACAAGCATCATCACATCACAATTCAATAATAACTTTATGCAAATGCCACGTAGGATGTTAAATGCAACAACACTGATACAATACATGTGGTACTATAACATGAAAACTTAGGTTCATTTCACTCCATGATCCATACCATAGCATTGATTCCCTCTTGGAGTCGAAGTACTCAAAATCTCTATCATCGCCATAGGTAACGCTTCACTAAATCCCCAAAAGAAGGATTTAGATACTCGCACTTGAACCATCACCATAGAAAACGAGGCTACAACATAATTCAGAATATAAGTTCCACGATATGGATGCATGGACGCTCAATCATATAGCAACAACAATAACACACATATGTTCGACCTCAGCTAGTCAAGTATGCCATTAACAACATAGCACACACACACACACACACACACACACACACACACACACACACACACACACACACACGCACGCACGCACGCACGCACGCACGCAGACACACACGCACGCACGCACGCACGCACGCACGCACGCACACACACACACACACACACACACACACACACACACACACACACACACACACACACACACACACACACACACACACACACACACACACACACATATATGGGTTAATACCTATTTTCACCCCTGACATATGGGGTGTATTTGAAAAATCCCCCTGCCAAAAAAAAAAGTTCCAATTGTTACCTTGACAAATTTTAAAAGTTTCAATTTTTACCTTGAGGATGCCACATCACCTAAAAGGCTGATGTGGCTTATATTTTTGTGGCATCCTCAAGGTAAAAACTAAAACTTTTAAAATTTGTCAAGGTAAAAACTGAAACTTTTAAAACTTGTCAAGGTAACAATTGGAACTTTTTAGGTGATATGGCATCCTCAAGGTAAAAACTGAAACTTTTAAAATTTGTCAAGGTAACAATTGGAACTTTTTTTTTGGCAGGGGAGTTTTTCAAATACACCCCATATGTCAGGGGTGAAAATAGGTATTAACCCTATATATATATATATATATATATATATATATATATATATATATATATATATATATATATATATATATATATATATATATATATATATATATATATATATATATATATATATATATATATATATATATATATATATATATATATATATATATATATATATATATATATATATATATATATATATATATATATATATATATATATATATGGAATATCATCATCAATATCAACACCATATCAATAATATCAACACAATAATATCTCAATAACTTAGCAAAAACGACACAACAACATCATAGTTAGGGCTGGAAAAACGGGTCGGGCCCGCCAGGCCAGCCCGTTTGATCCACCATTTTTGACGGGCTGGGCTGAGGTTTTCGGCTCGGTAACTTAAGTTGGCCCGCCCCGCCTAAACCGATTTAAAAGGCGGGCTTAGGCGGAGCAGAGCGGGTTTTACCCGCAGTTTTTTTTTTTACAACTTTTTACTTAGAATTAAGATAACTTTAACTATAAAAGTAATAGTATTCTCTTTGGGTTATGGTGATTGAACTACATTATAAACTATTATACAGATAAAATAAATTATAATTGTAAGGTTTTTTATATAACTTTTTAATATATGTATTGGTTGGAAAAACTTTAAATACAATAACAATTGTATGACATGAAGAATTATTAAGTTGTCAATACATTCGCTCACATGATTTCTTTAAAAACAAATGTTAATTTTAAGAAAATGAAGATTTCGATTAGAGTATATGTGTGACAAATTTAAGATATAACTATTAAGGAATCAATCAATATAA